TGTAGATGTCTTTATACACTTAGAGAGACTATATGAATGCAATTTTTTAGACTTGATCACCTTGATTCTGGAAATCAGATCTAAGAATAAGGGACTGGTATTTCAGGGAAGCAGATTTAGGTTTCAATACAAATTCCAAAAAGATTGCCAAGTAGTGGAATGTGTTAACTCAAATGGTAGTGAGTTTCCAATCAACGGAAACAAAAAGATAGCTGATGAGAAAGCATCAGGGTGCAGTTGTTAGTGGTGGTTCAGGATTTGCTAAAGGGTTTGATTTATTCCTAAAAATACTATGGGTCTACAACACATGATCAGCTTGAAAAAAAGCAGATGGACTACTATTCCTCAAATGCCAATATTTAGGAGGAAGAAAGTGACTTTTTTTCCCACTCTGTGACCCATAAAATATGTGGGAGCCACACACACACAGGAAATACCTCATCTAATGTTAGAGACACTGATTCTCTTCAGAGGTTCTCCATCCAGAGAAAGGGTGGAGGCCATGGGGACCAACTTCACTGGCCCAGATCTTTCCCAGGTTCCAGAGGAAGAGAAGATAAGTTGGTATTCCCAAATAGCCCACATGGAAATGAGCCAGGGTGATTCCCTTGGGAGTTATTTCCTTAACAAATATACCCCTCCTCAGGACTCTGAACATATACTGAAGATATAGCATCAAACCAATCCTCAGATCATGCTCAGGAACCACAAAGAGCAAGCTGTGGCTCAGGTAAGGAAGCTTAGTGATTCAAATGCAGAAAGGATATTTGAAGAATAACTCTTCTACCTAGCTTATGTATTTAGTTCTTGGGTATAGGCTAAGAAAGCAGACTTCTTTTTTTGTTGTTTGTTTGTTTGTTTTTAGTGAAATGAAGAATTCAGCAAATGTGATAACATGTGAAAAGGCAAGCCCAGACAAAAGAGCTACCATTTATATCCAGTGAATATTGATTGAGAAATAGGAGCTTAGCCTTTGGGTCAAATACATCTCAGTTTAAATTCCTGTACGCCATAACCAAAAACCAAAACCTTTGCTGTCGATTTGATTCCAACTCATAGTGACCATATAGGACAGAGTACAACTGCCCTATAGGGTTTCCAAGGCTGTAGTCTTTATGGAAGCCAATTGCCACATCTTTCTCCCTCATAGTGGCTGGTGGGTTTGAATCGCCGATCTTTTGGTTAGCAACCGAGCTCTTAACTACTGCATCATCAGGGCTCCTGCGTGCCATATATTTAGGGCAAATTACTTAACCCCTCTAAAGCTCAGTTTTTTTCAACTAAAGCATATAAATAGTACATTGTACATTTTATTACACTCATGTCTTAATTTTCTCATTATTTTATTCACTTTTTATCTCATAACCATTAGGCATCTACTCTCATCGTTCTATTGAAATTGTCAAAATCACCAACAAACTAGTTTCCAAAAACTATGGATATTTTCCATTTTTGTCTTACTTGGCCATCCTATGATATTGTTCACTATTAAACTACAACTCTACCTAAGCATCTCTTTTTCTATCCCTCTATATCTCTTTTTTCAAAAATCTCCTGTAAGATCCTCTTTCTTTTTTCCATCCTAAAATGAACTTTTTCATAGCTTCTCGACTTTTCCCTCTACATTCACTTTACTATCTTAATTCATACTCCAGGTAAAATTTAAACAATAACATAAAAGCTGAGATCTTTCCGATCACCATCTTTAGGCCATAATTTCTGATTGTGAGACTTCTGTTTTGGATATTTCTTACTGATTTTTTCTCAAAGAGCACAGATTCTGGGGCACTAGGTGAGGATGAAGGGAATGAAGCCAGGAGACTGATCGTCTAGGATACTTGCAGATTATTGCTCTTGTTAGGTGCTGTCCAGTCGATTTTCAACTCAGAGTAACTCTGTGTGACAGAGTAGGAACAGTCCCATAGGATTTTCTCAGGTGTAAAGTTTACGAGAGCAAATCGCCAGATCTTTCTCCTGCATAGCCACTGGCTGAGTTTAAACCGCCAACCTTTTGGTTAGCAGCTGAGCACTTAACCATTGTGCCACCAGGACTCCTACTTGTGGATTACCCCGAAGTAAGGAGAATATTTTTCCATTTTCTCAACATGATTCTAATGTGTTCTATTCTCTTTCCCCTCTCTTTTAAAAGTGTTATGTCCTTTTAAATTTGTTTCTAGAAAAGTCTCCTAGTCTGTAACCAGCATGTCAAGTTGCAGAAACTCTGAATGATGTGTCTGTGTGACTCTCAGATGCTATGGAGAACTCAGGGGAATCTGATTTTGAACAATCAACATCAAGAAAACCCTCAGAATGTAGTGAGTAGATAGTGAAGCTTGGTCATCTCTGTATCCCATAGGTGTAGGGAACCTTCAGGCTTGTCTCACGGTGATAAGAAATTACACTGATGTTACCACGGTTACTGATGCCATATACCACATATTAGAAGTCTTCCCTAAATTGGGCAGCTCTTCCACCTGGAGTATTTAGGCTGAACGAGCTCTGGTGGTGGAGTGGTTAAAGTGCTTGGCTGCTAACTAAAAAGTCTGTGGTTTGAATCCACCAGATGCTCCACAGGAGAAAGATGTGGCAGTCTGCTTCCATAAAGATTTACAGCCTTGGAAACCCTACGGGGAAGTTCTACTCTGTGCTATAGTATCGCTATAAGTCTTAATCAACTCATCAGCGGTGTTTTTTTTTTTTTTTTTAAATTTAGAGTATGTGGACATTTCCTGGAACCATGAAATTTTCCACAACTAATTGCCTGGGTGGCTACTATTAGGGTCTACAGACAATGAATAAAGAACTCTTCTTCTTGGATCAATTAAAACTTAAATATTAATAAATTTTAATAGCTGTTTACAAAGGCATTACCACATACTTTTGCTACATAAATCCTGCTCAGACTCAAATCCAAAACCCAAATTTTAGGCTTTTAAAACACTGGTATAGTGTAAGCATGCCGTAAGATGAAGCTCTTCTGTTTCTTCTCATTGTTCCATTCTCTGACTAATGGTGGGTACAAGCAGGTGATTTGACCCTGTTCAAAACAACAAACTGTGTCACTTATGTATTCTGTATTTCTCTTTCCACATATATTTTTAGTAAGGAAATGTTAGACGGTTGAGGTGAAGGGGCAAGTAGGAATTCTGACTTATGATGATATACACATCCATTCTGTGTAGGGGTAGATGAATGTTGCCAAGGAGAGCACCACGTAGGTCATAGCTCAACAAATTGAGTCATTTGGCAGTTTCATCAGTACCTATATCAACAGAGTATCTGCTACTTCAGTGCCCAGACCAGCATTTTTGTCATAGACAGTAGCCCCCGTAGTTGTGGCCATTTCCATAGCTCATTCCTTTTCCTAATTTTTTTATTGCTTATTATTAAAGATATTACCATGTGCCATCCTGGGTGGTGCAAATAGTTTGCATTCAACTACTAACGTAAATGTTGGAGGTTTGACTCTACCTAGTGATATTGCAGAAGAAAGGCCTGGTAATCTGGTTCCATAAAGATTACAGCCACAAAAACCCTAAGGAGTACTTCTACTCTGTAACACATGGAGCTGTCATAAGTCAGAATTGACTTGATGACAATTTTTTTTTTTTTACCATGTGCCAACATCTTTTTAAAAATTACATATTGTTATTTTTACTAGTCTTTATAAAACAGAAGTGGAACAAAGATTGCTATCACCTCATTCTTTCTGAATTCCTCTTCAGAGATAATACAAGTCATGTTTATAATAATAAATAATTAAAAAGAGTCTGGACACATATACATTTAATTGAATTTGGGAGAAACTAATGTTTCCATTGTGGTTCTCTTTGTTACTGTGATCTACTTGCTGCCAAATTTCTTGGTTTTATGGAATTAAGCCTAACTTCGTTTTATAACAGCGTAATTATAAATAGGCCATATGTCAAAGTCACCTCCAGAAGTCATATTTTTAATTTTTCTGGGCGTGGGCTTGCTAGATTCATAAAGCTTACACGGTCTATATGATTGTTTGCACCAGCAATATAGTCATCATATGCTATCCTCTGGGAGTCCTTATCTTCTCCCTAGATCTGGCTCTGTGAATTTTATACATCCTGTCACCATTTTCTGATATTACTTCTGACTTTCTGATAAACATGTCTTTTTAAAATCCATAGCTCTCTATGTGTATCAGGCGTCTGTGGAGGCCTTTGTTCTAGGAGTCTGTCTTCCTTCAAAAGTTTCCTCTAAGAGCTTCCAACTAGTATCCAGTTATAGTTTGTCTCTGGTGTTGCAGGTCTTTTGCAACATGGAAAGTTTCCTGAGTACCAAGTCTATTGCGTAATCTTACCTTTCTAAGATCAGTTCACCAGCTCTGCCCACTTGGTCAAATTTCTCTTGTCATTTATATTAGTCTCCTCCTTACAGTCCACTTGAGATAGCTATATTGGGAACAATATTTCTCAAATATTCCATGGTAATGGACTCATTTCTATAGTGATTTTCCTTAGTGATGAGTCAGTGAGACAGTTTTATGACTGTTTGAAAGAGAGAAAATCTGAACTGACCCTCGCTGGACAGAAATACAGCAGGGGCCTACATGAGAGGGATACTATGAGGAGGAGTAAATGAGTAAAGGGACTGGAATGGAGCCAAAGGAGTGATAATGGAGACTAGGAGTAAAGGCTAGAAACACAGAAGTAAGATGTATGATTGAAAGAATGAAAGTTGAATGCTGAACTGTAAATGGTTGTGATTATTATCATGATTATTATTATTGTTATTTGTGGTTCTAGGCAAATAGAATACAGGCTTACAACTAATTAGGAGTGAAACAACCCACAAAAGAATTTTGTTTTGAGGCAAAAAAATGGCCCAATGATGTGCTACAAGAAGATAGTGAGAGAAAGAAAGCAGGCTGCATATTTAGAGATCATAACCCTTGAAAATATCTATTCTCCATCAAGAAAACTTACCGTGTGGTCCAACAATAGTGCTGCCCCCTTTTTGCTGACTGGATTTCTGGGCTCAGAGACAATTCACCACTGGATCACTATTCATTTCTCATTTACCTCTGCATCATCTGCAACAACAGCACACTTCTCTTCCTCATTCTGAATGACCACAGTCTTCATGAACCCATGTACAGCTTCCTGGCAATGCTGGCGGGCACAGACTTGGGGATAACACTAAATACAATGCCCACCATCCTGTGTGTCCTGATGCTGGACCGGACGGAGATAGCACAGAGTGCCTGCTTTACTCAGTCTTACTTCATTCTCTCACTGGCCATTATAGAGTCAGATGTCTTGCTTGCCATGACCTATGATAGTTTTATCGCCATCGGCACCCCGCTAAAGTACAACTCCATTCTTATCAGTTCCCGGGTGCTGAAGGTAGGGCTGGGAGTACTGGTGAGGGGTTTTGTGTCCATTGTACCCCCAATTCTGCCACTCTATTGGTTCCCATATTGCCATTCTCACGTTCTCTCCCATGCTTTCTGTCTTCACCAAGATGTCATGAAACTCGCCTGTGCTGATATTACATTTAATCGCCTGTACTCAGTAGTTCTGGTCGCTTTGACTTTCTTCCTAGATGCTCTAGTTATCCTCTTCTCTTATATTCTAATCCTGAAAACAGTTATGGGCACTGCCTCTGGAGAGGAGAGAGCTAAGGCCCTCAACACCTGTGTCTCCCATATTAGCTGTGTCCTAGTCTTTTATATCGCTGTGATTGGCTTGACCTTCATCCACCAATTTGGAAAACATGTACCACATGTGGTCCATATTACCACGAGCTATTTATACTTTCTCTTTCCTCCATTCATGAACCCCATTATATACAGCATCAAGACCAAACAGATTCAGAAAAGCATCATTCATTTATTCTCTATGCACAGTAGGGTTTGATCCTTTATTTCGGACTCTTGGGATCTCCATGACAACTGGGCCTTTCCCATTACTGGGAGGTGTCTTGGATTTATACCTGGTCGATTTTTTCATAGTTAGATGAGACTTCAATCATTATATAAATTTAGAATAACTTTGGTAGAAAAATTCTCTCTCTGCCTATATCTATAGATAGGTAGATAGATATGAATGATAAAGAACTCATATATATATACATATGTGTGTGTATATATATATATATATATATATATATATATATATATATAAGTAAAAAAAGAATACTAGTGACACTGAAGAAAAAGGATACAGGAATTAGGGAAGATAAAATGATCTGGATCCTGTAACCAAAGGGAAAATAAGCACCATTTCAGATAATGTCAAAGTAAATGGACTAACATAGCTTAGTTCAAAAAAAAATCTATGAAAGGAAACATGTACAGTTGAGGGTAAATTTTATGTACCATAGAATGGTTACTTAGAATATGTTATCACCTTTCTATCTCTGTATTTTGCGTCTAACTATGTTGGACATGATGTTGCTTCATCAGTAAATGAATTCATGTGAGGAAAATCGGTAAATGTATAAAACTCTAGGAAGCTTTCTCCTGAAACATCAGTTTCCCTTAACATATCAGTAGATCTAATTATTCAGGGGAAATTGAGAACAATTAAAAGCCTGATAATCACCAACCAATTTTGTATCAACTAGTTGAACTTGCAGTTCCAAATCCCTAGCACCCTTTTTTTTCTTCTTATTGGCTGCTGACCACTAACTTACTATTTTTCTTTCCAGCTTTCAACTTTCTCTCCTGATGGTTTTCTACTGAAAAGATTGATTATAGATTTAGACATCACCTTCACACTCTCTCTCTCCCTTATCTGATCTCACATTAAGAACTCAGGGTTTTCCCAATTCATAAAGTTTTTCTGCTAATCAATACAGACAATCTGGCAAAAGCAATATTATGGGTTTAAGCATTTTGCACTGATAGAATAGTTTTCTCCTCCAATGTTCTTAGAATTGTTTGTAAGTATGTATCCAACTTGTTTTAGATGAACTGTAGTCTGTAATGGATTGTTGATGTTGTAAGTAATGTCAATTAGTTGGCTTTCTCATGTGCTATTAGTTCTACAGTAGTATTTGCAGCTAGTCACTTTATAGGTATGTGTCCTAGAAGATGGTGTCCATTGTTCTTTGAAGATTGCTATTTCTTCCTAATTCTAAGCTGGTGTATCTAGTTGGACCTTGTCTTAGTTATCTAGTGCTGCTATAATAGAAATACCACAAGCAGATGGCTTTAACAAAAATAAATTTATTCTCTCACAGTTTAGTAGGCTAGAAGTCCAAATTCAGAGTGCCAACTCTAGGGAAGGCTTTCTCTCTGTTGGTTCTGGGGGAAGGTTCTTGTCATCAATCTTCCCCTGGTCTAGGAGCTTCTCAGCATAGGAACCTCAGGTCCAGAGGAAGAGCTCTGCTCTCAGTATTGCTTTCTTGGTGGTATGAGGTCCCCATTCTCCTAGTCTGAGTGACGACTCCGCCCTTTGAGATCCCAGAGGTCATAGTCCTACCTTTTGAGACTGAGGCAGCTCTACTTCCTGCATTCCTTGTCTCTTCAGCTTCTGCTTCCTGGTTCCTTGGCCTCTTGGACCTTCAGGCCTCACCTCCCATGTCTGCTCTGCTGGGGCAAGTGTTACAAAGCTCTTTAGCTCCACCGATATGTACCTGAAAGTACCTACTCTGCCAGTAAACTTCAGCCAGAAGGCACTCAGCTCTTTTGATCTGTGGGCTGGCAAGCCTAATTCCACCAGTAAGTGCCCTAAGACACCCTGCTCCGCCAGAAAGCCTTCTTCGCAGACACTCAGCTCTCTCACTCAGTGAGTTGGCTCCAGTGCTGTCTCCTGGTTCTGCTGCTGCTGTTTCTCTACTGCTACTTCTTGCCAATCCCCTGGACTGGTACTCTGAATTCAGACTTCCAGCCTCCTAGACAGTGAGAAAATAAATTTCTCTTTGTTAAAGCCATCCACTTGTGCTAAGCACATTTGTTGTGTAATTTATTTAAAAATAGTGCCCTTTCAAACAAATGCGGCTTCCAGACAAGTCTTTATGTTCTCCAACCATAACCTCTACTAAACTGTTTGCCAACCCTCAGATTCTCCTATACAGAAATTCTTGAGTCAGTGCTGACTTGAAAGCAGGATTCGTGTCCTGAAGAATTATCAAGTCAAAACAGGTTTATCCTGTATCCTGAAGAATTATCAAGTCAAAACAGGTTTATCCTGTATCGTATTTCTAGTTCAGTCAGGGCAGTAATTGTGTTTCCTCATCTGCTTACAGTCTTTCGAGGGATGACCACCTGTCATTCTATAAACCCCCAAAACTATTAATAAAATCCTTAAAAAAAATCTATTTTGTTTCTGCAATGGTCTTGCTAGGGTTGATTTATTTCATTTATTACAGACTTCAGCTTCTCACAGTCATAGCAAACACCCTATTAAGGTGTTGCATCAAGAGATTTACATGGGAGGTGGAGCCAACATGGCGGAGTAGTCAGATACTTCCAGTGGACCCTCTTACAACAAAGACCAGTAAAAACAATTGAATCGATTATATATGACAATCTAGGAGCCCTGGATATCAAAGGCAAAGTTGAGGAACTGGACTGAGTGACAGGGGGTGGGAGAGATGGTTCGGAAGCAGAGAGGAGTTGCCAGACCTGACCAGGCAAGAGCCTGAGCCCTTCAGGCCTGATCAGCTCATGGGTGAGCAGTGAGGTAAGCAAGCAGTGATGCTCAGGAGGCATGTTCTGCACTGGGAGAGACCCAGAGGCAGAGAGTCTACTCAGCCACCCAGAACCAGTGAGAAGCAGCCCTCAATCAGTGAAAGATAAGTACTTGCGTCCAGCCTACCACACGGATAAAAAACACCCCCCTTAGGGAAAAAGCTCTCTCCCATTTACCTCTCCACTGCCTGCTCTGCGCTGGATCCTAGACTGGTTTCAACAATTGCCAAGTCCCCTGGGCCAGAAGTAGGATCCGTCATACACCCGAAGCCATTATCCCAGCTTTGGAAAGTGAACAAACTAACAAACAGGGGAAAAAATAAACTACTGGCTCCCCTAAGCCAGGAAATCAGGCTAGGCACAGCTCCTTTGCCTAGGCACAGGCATAAAGGATCCATGGACTTAGAATGCCTTCCCCCCTGCATAGACTTGTGTGACCCCATTTCAACAGCATAGGCCCTCATTACTGCAGTACAACAGGGTATATGCCTGAAGTCTAAATTCAACTGTTTCAGCTCTGAAGTGGCAGGTTCATGAAATTTGACACCACTCTGCCCATAAAGCATGCCCTTCACCTACCCACATCAGGGTCCTGAGGACTGGTGGCTCCACCCATGCCACCTAGCCACCTGAGATAGGGGCCCATGAATAAGAGGTGCCCACCAGTCCTTAAAGCCAACAGCATTGTGTGCTCATAGTCTGGCTGCAAAACCCACCCACCTGTGTGTTTAGGGAACAGGGACACACCTTCTTCTTGGACACTTGGGGGCATCTGTCAGCCCCTGGCTTGCTCAGAGTGTGCTCCCTTGCTGCAGCCAGATGCCTGTGCCTACACTAATCACCCATATCTGTCTAAGACTGTAAGTGAGAGCCTGCATCACACACTTGGTGGCTATCTACCTGGGCACCTGAGCTGAATCCATACCAGAGAGTGGGCGGACTTCTGAGCTCATATACCGAGTAACAGATCTAACCACCTGGTGACAGGACATTAGAGCTTCAAAGATGCCAATAATTAAACTAGTTGACATGAGCAGCCTATTTGGGCATATCAAAACAAAACAAGAAGCTAGGACACAGTAAGCAAACATAAAATAAATAAATATAGTGACTTATTGATGGCTCAGAGACAACAGTCAATATCAAACCACATAAAGAGGCAGTCCATGATGGCTTCAGCAAGCTCCCAAAATAAAGAATCTAGAAATTTTCCAGAGGAGGAAAATTTATTGGAATTACTGGAGACAGAATACAAAAGATTAATATATACAGAACTCTTCAAGATATTAGGAAGGAAATTAATCAAAATGCAGAACAGGCAATAGAGGAAATTAAAAAGATTAGAGAAGAGCATAATGACAAATTTAACAGACTGCAAGAATTCAGAGAGAGACAGCAATCAGAAACCCAGAAGATCAACAACAAAATTTTCAGAATTAGACAACTCAATACAAAGTCATAGGAGCAGAATTGAGGCAAACGAAGTGAGAATTAGTGAGACGGAAGAAAAAGCACTTGACACCAACTTATTTGGGGAAAAATCAGATAAAAAGATTAAAAAAAAATGAAGAAACCCTGAGAATTATGTGGGATTCTAACAAGAGGAATAACCTACGAGTGATTGGAGTACCAGAACAGGGGGGGATAAGAGAAAATAGAGGGAGAATTTTGAAGATCTATTGGCAGAAAACTTCCCTGACATTGTGAAAGATGACAAGATATCTATCCAAGATGCTCATCAAACCCCACATAAGGTAGATCCCAAACGAAAGTCACCAAGACATATTATAATCAAACTTGTCATAACCAAAGATAAAGAGAGAATTTTAAGAGTAGCAAGGGATAAACAAAAAGTCATCTACAAAGGAGAGTCAATAAGAGTAAGCTCAGACTACTCAGCAGAAACCATGCATGCAAGAAGGCAATGGGATAACATATATAAAGCCTTGAAGGAAAATAACTGCCAGCCAAGAATTATATAACCAGTAAAACTGTCTCTCAAATATGATGGTGAAATTAGGGCATTTCCAGATAAACAGAAGTTTAGGGAATTTGCAAAACCCAAACCAAAATTACAAGAAATATTAAAGGGAGTCCTCTGGGTAGAAAATCAGTAACATCAGATAACAACCCAAGACTAGAACACAGGACAGAGCAACCAGATATCAAGCCAGATAGGGAAGTCACAAAAGTAAATCAAAGCTAAAACACAGAAAATAG